CAGCTAAATTTTTTTGCTATGGGAATCCGAACGAAACATTGCTTTGAAAAAGCTCTTTGGAATGATCCGAAACAGAAAGCGGTAGATTATGTTCAATTAAAATACGAACAAATAGCATTCGGCTTTATAGGATCTGTTTCATCATCTTTTATTAAGAAATTTTGTTATTTCTTTAGATTTTACGGTGCCAAGTTCTATCTATATGCTTTGAGAAAACACATGCCGTTTACAGTCATTTTTTCCGCCATGAGCAACTGAGAAGTCTTTGTTGCATACACTGCAGTGTGCGTGATTCACAGAAATTTCGGACGCTTTAATGCATGGAAATTCTGAAGAAATATGAATCTTTTTAAACTTCTGCTTTGATAATTTTGGCTTCTTCGTTCGAGGCAGCATTATGATTAAAAAATCTTTCACCTGATTCACAGTTCACAAGACACACGCTAAGCTCTCGCCGTAAACTACACAATGCAGCCGAATGCAGCCTAAACACGCATCAGCGAGGAACCTGGGAGACAGACAATTGGATGGAACTGTTGATAAGTCGTTAACGGTTGGAGTTACTGATCTACGATTGGCTAATTCTTCAAAACTAGGAATGCACTCAACACGTGATATATGATAACACGAGTATTCAGCCAATCATCGGATGAACTAGTTGGTTCCGTTTTGCGTACTGGTTCTCCTGCTCTTGTTTCTGTAAAATCCGTAGTTTTTTCCCTACTTTTCGTAGCTCGTAGTTTTTCATGAATTTCCGTAGAAACTACGGAGAATCCGTAGTAGTTGGAGTCTATGTATAACCACGATGGCACTATAAAAAAATACAAAGCTAGGCTAGTTGCTAAAGGGTGTGCTCAAATCCCTGGTCTCGATTTCACTGAAAACTTTTCCCCTGTTGCTAGATTAAATTCCATAAGAACAGTTTTAGCCTACGCTATAGAACACAGTCTCAAAGGTTACCAATTAGATTTTGTAATGGCCTATGTAAATGGAAATTCAAGATGAAGAAATCTACATGGAAATTTCCAAAAGGTTTTCGTGACGAAACTAATTCAGATAAAGTGTGTCTTTTAAAGAGATTCATTATATGGTCTTAAACAGTCAGGACATCAGTGGTACAAACAGTTGGATGAAAAATTAAAATCTATGAAATTTAAATCTCTTAATTCAGATAATTGTGCTTATATTAAAAAGATGTCTAAGAGTGACACTATTATAATCTTTTACGTCGACGATCTTATCGTTTTTACTGATTCTAAGCAAACGTATGAAAAAATTCGTGAAAGTTTAGCTTTTGCTTTCAAAATGAAAGACTTGGGGAAATTACATTATTGCTTAGGCATAGAATTTTGCCAAGATGAGAATTCAATTAAAATTTATCAAAAGAAATATGTTTATGTTATTTTAAATCGGTATAATATGCAAAATGCTAAATCCGTGTGTTCATCTATAGATAATAGCAAAAAATTATCAAAAGAGATGAGTCCTGAAAATGAAAACGAAATCGCTGACATGAAAAGTGTTTCATTTAGAAATCTGATCGGATCACTAATGTACCTTTCAGTAGCTACTAGGCCAGATATCACAAACACCGTGAATTTCTTCAGTCAATTTAACAACAATTTGGGAAAAGAACATTGGCATGCTGCAAAAAGAATACTTCGATATCCGAAGGGAACCCAAGATCAAGGACGAAAACAGGAAAACCACTCATCGCTTTTGTGGATGCAGATTGTGCATCAGATGTCGAAGATCGAAAATACTACACAGGTTTTGTATATATATTCAGCCATAACCTGGGAATGATGAAAACAATGCAGTGTAGCTCTATTTTCAATGGAGGCGGAATATATGGCTTTGTCTGAGGCTGCCAAAGAAACCGTCTACCTACGTCGTCTCCTGAAAGAGCTGGGTTACAACATAGAAAACCCAACACCAATATACTGCGAAAATCAAGGAGCTTAGAAAATTACGAAGAACTCAATGTTTCACTCCCATACAAAGCACATAGGCATTCGCCATCATTTTGTGCGTGAAGTATATGAACACGGTGAATTAGATGTGCAATACATACCTACCAGTGAAATAGGAGCTGATGCGTTAACCAAACCCTTGACTCCTGTTAAACATCAAAACTGTTGTACAATTATAGGATTGAATACTGTTTAATGTGTATTTTGTTTTACTTTTCAGGAACAGGAGAATGAATGACGAAAGGGGGTATGTTGGCAACCACCGTTGATTTTCCTAGCACACGCATGATAAGCAAGTTCACTGCTGCATTTTTTATGCAGTTAGCCAACATCAATGGTGAGTATCGCATGTAAGCGAGACGTGCTAAGCGCTGTGTAATATCATGTTTCTACTCTGTTGTTCAAAGTCTCCATAGCTTAAATACATGTTTGTCATGTATATGGAAGACATCATTTTCTTCTTATTTATATTTTCCCTTTTGCATTTTTATTTTTCGAGTTTGTTCACCATTAATTCTTATTTTAATTTTTATTTGTTTAGATATTGTGTTAAACATCTCATACATAGTTATGATTATTAATATTGTTGAGGAATTGCCTTGCTTTAATTCCAATTTAATATTAACTTTAGAAGCTTTAAGTTTATATATATACAGAAAGAAAAAGAGAAAACCTATTATGAACTCAATCGGGGAAAATTTACTTCATATTTTCTGCAGTTTTATTAAATTTGATTCACATGCAATTTCATTGCAATAACCAAGAATCAAAATACAAAGAATTCAGAAGAAATGTTTTGATTATATTAAGTAATACTTATTTTCAAATTTATAATACATTTTAATCAAATTACATACTTAAAACATTACAAGAGGGGATAATAAAGAAATCTCACATTTTAAAAATTATGCAAGTTTATGAATTTTTTAAAACATGAAGAGTTTAAATAAGTCTGAAAAGAAAAAAAGTAACCAACAATGCTTAACTTTAGCTGTCTTTCCTGCCTATTTTATTCTAAATAGGTTAACATACATTTTATCAGTTGGTAAAGGCTGGCTCATATTTCACTTCAAATAGCTATTTGTTACACTTCATTCAGAGCTGAGAAGGATGAAGCCTAACATTAAAGATAGACAAGAATTTAAAGAGCTTAAGCAATACTTTTATGCAAACTTCAAAGAACATACCTTCTGAAAATGTTTAACTCAAAAGGATGCAAAACCATAGAAATGATAAAAAAATGAAATGATTAGAGAATTAAAATCCTTCAGATTTCATTAGCATGACAAATGCCAAGTCTAGATAATGCTAAGTGTTCTATCTCAGGCCTATTCATAATTACCCATTAAAATCGCTTATTTGCAGTAATATCAAAATCAGGGTGCGGTAATTACTCAACTCATATATTGCCTGGGGGGTTCAAAAGTTGGCAAAAACAAACAAAAAAATATTTATTACATATACGGTGCATATTTTAATTCTGCTATTTCATGAGAAAAGTTGAATGACGCAATGAGCTATTTGTATCTTTCATTGTCATACCCTCACTACAAAGTAAGAAGTGACAGGGATTTGAACAATAAAAATTGTTTTGTGGAATTAAATAAATGATCTTCTAGTAATATTTATGTTCCTTAATATTAATATTTGTGCCTCAAAATTTTATAAATCCTGCCTTCCTCAGAGCAACTTTACAACAATAAAACTGCTGACTAATTTAATATTGAGATCTATAACACTGCTCATGGCTTAACACTTGCAGATAATGAAAGAAATTACAAAATGATCTAATCTTTATGTAGTGTAGAGTTCTAACACTACACTTAGTATTCTTTTAAATATCAGGAATTATTGACTTAACTAAATGATGAAAAAGTGAAAACGACATTGTACAAAATATAAGAAACTTTTTTTTTAAGATATTAGAAAAACAGTATAGCAGTTGTTTTGCAACACGGCTAAAAAATCTGTAGAATGAATGAAATTAGTTTATAATCATATTAAACATTTTTTACTTGCATACATTTTTAATATTACATGAAATGTACGTTATTTCTAAAAGAAATTTTGAAAATGTACATATCTGAATATCTGCACCCCTAAGAAGTATTCGTGAGGCTATGCACTATGTTGACAAAAGAGGCAACCTGTGTTGTCAGCAAACTGTTAGTTATGGGACAACCCAGGTATGTACATAAAAGCTGACCACCGGTCATTAGTCCTTGCTTTTGCTTGTGCTTTTTTTTTTTTTTTTTTTTTCTTGCAAGGAATCATAACGGAAAACGGAAGTGCAGAGTTTGCCAGCTGATGAAAAAGAAAGCACTGCATCACCTGAGAAATATGGTGTATTGCCGAACAGTAGACAATACAAGATTTAATATTCTGTGAATTTGTACTTTGTTAACAATCAAATTTTTATGGATCAAAATATGTGCAATCTCTTAATTTTTTTAAAGCAAAACAGATCACTGTGTTATGTGGGAAAACAGCAACCTGTGCAATTTTCTGACATATTTTTAACCGAAAACAGACTGCTGTATAAAATTGCATTTTTAACTGAAAACAGATTGCTTTGTACCTGGAAAAACAGCATTTGCAATGCCAAATTTGTGCAATTCTCTGGTTCCTTTTTAAGTGAAAAGAGATTGCTGTGTACACGTGAACTACAGTGCAGTCTCCCCCCCCAAAAAAAGAAACAGTTTTATTATGGATGTTATTGCATTTTTTTTAAATTTTGATAATTTGTTTCTGTTTTGAGTAATTCTTAGCATGGTGCCCTATTTGAAAATGACTGTTGTCTTTTACATCTTAGCTTGGCAAAATAGTTGGCAATGGTTGACGACTTTTTGGGAAGGAAGTGTGGTGTCCATAAAAGAATAGGTTAGAAAGTAAAAATTTTTATACTGAAATGCAATAGCTGAATGCTATGATATGTTTTTTACAGAGGTTTTTCAAATGATATTTTAAATCACAGTTAGTCAAAAACTGCATCTCAATTAAAAAAGTTGGAAAAAAGTACAAACAAACCTGGCTGCTCCAAGGCACATTGCTTTCGGAAGATATTCTTGTTAAAGGTTTTTCAGCTTCATTAGGTTCAGTAAGATAATTACTTGTTTCAACAAGTGAATTATCCATTGTCTGAACAGAAACTGCATTAGTATTTGTTTCTGACTTGTTAGATATAGCTGACTGATCATTCTGCATACCAGAAAAAAAAATTACATGTACAGATTTCAATTTTTGAGTGTATAAAAACAATAAACATAAATATAAAAAAGGATATCTTTATATATAAATGATATGTACATGAATGCTGCACCCTGAATATTTACAATAACTTTCATAGAATTTCAGCAACATCACATGATTTTTTTAATCATACTATGAGAGAGCTTCCGCTTACTACAGTTCACTTATTTCAGCACAATACCCAATTACTTTGCTTAATCCAATAACTGTTATTTGCTAACCACAGTTTATCAAGAGTAAACTACAAACCTTTTAGTTACATCTGCCTTTTTAAAAATTTTTCTGCTCCTGTAATCCACACATTAAAAGTTTAATTAACAAATTTTAGATTTCTTATTTCACAGAATATTTTGGCTTTCTGCATGACACATGCTGAACCACTTTACAGTCTTCATGGATCACCTAGTTCAAATAAAAGCCTATTTCACGTTTTCTGTCAGTAGTACACAAAAATGATTTCATACATTTAAGGGGAATTTTAAAATCTACATTTTACTGCAGGGTTATTATGTTAATTAATCAGTTATGATTTGAGAGGTGTTTCTGACATTATGTGAGCATTATAGGATTAATTTCTGCCAGCTTTAACAGTTGTAATTACTTGGCTTTGTGGTTTCTTGCTACCGACACTTTGATTCTGTTGCACCAGCAGAATTATGTGCAAAAACTTGGCCTCCAATCTCTCTCTCACTCTTTTTTTTTCTTTTGCAAGCTCTGTGCATGCGCACTGGATTTTTTTTATAACAACATGTTGACAGTCCCAATTTTAAATTTCGCTTCAGTGCTCAGTAAAATACCTCCTTGCTAAAAAAATTATTTTGTATGAATAATAATTTGGCTCCATAGGTGATTTTTGGCTTGGCATACATCTCAAACCCCATCCTTCTTTATGCATTTTACAAGAAAAATCTGACTGAACTTCTATCTTGTTTACTACTTTATCGCCCCAGTATGTTTTTGACCTTAATTTTGTATTTAAAGCCAAGAAACACCACATTTATTTATAAATTTTGTTCATCAAAACAGAATTAACATGGTATTTTAGGCAGAGAAAGCAATTAAAAAAATATTTACTTTTGGAACAACAGCTAAGTTTTTATCAATATTTGAAAATTTCGTATATTCCAAACTTTTTTGAGTCACTGTACGAGAACAGACGAAAGCTAGCTAGTATTTTCTACACGTAAAGCCAATATAAAACATGCCCCTCCCATTCCTACAAAAACCCAACTATATAAAAATTAGGGTGATGAAAAGGGTAACAAGGTAAAATGAAGCTCCTTGGTGAGCTATCCTTTATTATATAGCCCACCCAGAATTTTCACAAAAAATATCGCCAAGCATGGTGATAAATGATAGGATGTGGCAACCCATATCAGTGAACAAGCAGGTGATAACTCATACCATTTACAAATCCTCAATCTAGAAGACACTGCAAAAGGTGAGACGTTGTTTACTTATCTTAGGCTTGGATACCCCTTTTTATAATGCATATATTGGCTACGCTTCTTTTAGAAAACAAGCTTTGTAGTTATGCTATAGCTTCATATTTGAAGAAAAATTATATTTTAACGCAGTTAAAATGTTAGGTTACTGCATGAGGTTTTTTTTTTTTATTATAAATCTACTTTTGTATGTTGTGTGGTACTATTAACATTTAACGTAATGAGTTAAAAAATGTATTATTAAGATTTAGCAAACAATTGAAAATACTGAATGATCGATTTAAAAATCATAACGATAACTGCTCAAATACAGAAAAGAATTCTTTTGCTTGAATGTTTTGGTCACTGATGAGTGTGTCTGATTCAGTTCTTTCTGCAGTACAGATGATTATCTGAATCCGGATATTCCCCCCCCCCAGTTGGCGTGAAAAGGTAAAAAAAGTGAGATCGAGTGGTGTATGGAGAAAAGTTTGATTGCAAGATCGTATAAATGTCCAATTTGTAAAGCGAATATGAAACTAGTAGAACGAAAGAACTGTATAGAGGGTTTCAAGTGGATGTGTAGGTTATTGGAGGCGAATGTAAGCATCAAATGACAAGGTCTGTTCGAAAGTACTCACGGTTTGCGAAAAGTAAATTGAGCACGTGTGGTGTTTTGTGGTCATGTAAGTGGGGGAATGATTTTATACGATCGGAGTTACATATTGCTAAAAATATGATGACAGATTGGAAATTTTTTTGCCAAGGTAGTGTGTAATAATGAGGTTGTGCACGATGCCGAGTTTGTGCAATTCTCTGATTTTTTTTAAGTGAAAAAAATAGATTGATATGTACATGGCCACCGAGTTTGTGCAATTCTGTAAGGTTTTTCAAGCGAATACAGATCGTTTTGCACATGGGCAAAGTGAGGTTGTGTGTGATGTCGAGCAGTAATGTAATGTATTTCATGTACAATGTTTAACATATCATTTGTGTATTTTAAATTTGTATTGTTGTTTTAATTGTAAATTACATTTTAGACCTTTTTTGTATTAAATTGTATTTTTAATTGTTTGGTTGCTATGTTGGTAATGCTTGTCGACTTGCGATAAATATCGATAATCCAACAATCTACTCAGCAGCAAACCTGTAAACTTTGATCCTATAAGTAACTTTTACATTATTATTTTAATACATATAATATGAGTTCATTGATAATATGTGTGTGTGTGTGTGTGTGTGAAGCATTGTTTAGTGTTTCAAATTTGTAGTATTTCTGTCATTAAGAGAAATTAGATTTTTTTATTCATTAACATGTAGAATTCTAGTATGCCTACAGAAAATATGACATGTTTTAGGAATTTAAGAAACAGTGATATGAAAGCTGTGTCTGATGTTGATATGCAACAATTTTTTCTAATTAATGTAAAGTTAAAAATTTTTTTAAAAATAACGAAGATTGTCTACTTACTGGTAAGTAAGTCATTGTGTCATTGCATAGAAATAAGGTAATTTATAAAAATGATAAAATTAAAACGTTTCATAATATAATTTAAATTTAATCATTTTTTATTTGTATAAATGCTAAAGCTATCTTTGAAAATACTGAAGCTGTATGAAACACAAGTATGAGAGACTTCAACGTTGTTTACAATTTTGATATCTGGTAGAATTCACTTACTATATCATAGTAATTTGAAATATAAACAATTTATTATACTTATTTCTATATCTATAGATAATATATTGTGACATCACAAGCTTAGTCCCATCAATTTATGGATGTCACTCATTCAAGACTTACTTGCCAAGACAGGACAGGACTTTATTTTTACTTACAAAGCTGATGGACTTTGTTTTAGCATTTAATCAATTTCATTTACTATTCTGTTTGCACACAATAATCGCTCTTCACCATTGTGAACATAAAATTTACTATTCTGCTTACTTTTAAGACTTACTTTGCAGTGCTCTGATCTCATCTAAGTGAACATATTTATTTACTCAAGAATTATTTGCAAGAATTCTGCATTATACTATTTTATTATGAATTATGTTTTGCTTGCTATCTTTTTACTTGCACTATGTTTTTACTTCCAGAGCTGATAGACTTTGTATTTTTTATCTATTACTTTATAATCTCTCTATTTACATTTAAAAATCACATCTCAGCGCTCTCATTGGTGCCGAAAAAATTCGCCAAATTTTGAAGGTGGGCTGGCTATACTGAAGCTGTTCCAAAATTTCCTATATTACAAACTTTTTTTGAGTCACTGTACGAGAACAGGAGAAAGCTAGCTAGTCTTTTCCATACGTAAAGCCAACTTAAAACAAGTGTCCCATTCCCACAAAAATTCAAATATATCAGAAAAGAGTGATGAAAAGGGTAACAAGGTAAAAGGAAGCTCCTTTCAACATAATGCCTCTGAAAGTTAAATAATTTTTTTTTTTAAAGTGATATAATTTAAAATGTCAGGGGGATAGTCAAGTCCCTCTTGTTTATTAATGGCATGCCACTGACAGCACATCAGAAATTTAACTGTTTGACTGCTATGCGGAGCAAAAGTGCTGCATTAATTTGTCTTGAAAAGCAAACGCTGCGAGTTTCAGTGTGTCTTTGTTGCTCCGTGGGTGTGAACGTAGTCTGACCTCACGTGTACTTTGTAACACGAGTGCATTCTAAAATAACTAACTGCGATGTGGTTTTCGAGACAAATGAACGCAGTGCTTTTGTGCAGCGTAGCAGTCAAACGGTTAATAAGCCAATTTCTTGAACACAGAAATAGTTAAAAAATGTTTTCATAAATAAGCACTTTGGAAGTTCATATAACAAATATAACCAAAAGTTTAAACATTGATATAAACTATATTTATGTTAGAATTCTCCAACGTTTTAACAAAAAATGATTCAATGATATTAAGTGCTCTATTACTGATAAAGTTAGTCAATATTAAAAAAACTCCTAATATCATACATGATTCCTGAGTTGAATAATACATTATTATTCTCAGTCACCCAAAGATGAAACATCACAAATTACACTGCAATTTGAATACTCATTTTCTGCAGTAAAACAGAAAATTTTACAGTAAAGATTAACTACTGAAACAAGCAAAGCTTAATCATTAAAGTTTAGCTTAAATTTATTTCTGAGTAGTAGTTATATTAATTTCTTTGTTTCTAAACTGTAATTTAAATCTGAAACACTAAATAATTTAAACTGCAATTATTAAGTTACCCTTAATTTAATTAATACATAAGTGTAAAAAGCATAAACTAAGTATGTATGAATTTGTAATTTGGTGCAGTGCATAATTTTTCCTATGCTATGTGAGTTTGATGAATCAAGAAATTCTTGGCAAGTAGTACTGTATTTAAAATTACTTATCAATTAATAAGTGTAAATATAAACTATTTTATAATTTGAACTTTCTCACTTCTTGACACTATTATATATTATTCCTTAATATTACTATAATATTAATCCTTTAATGTTATAATAAATGAAATGCAAGCAAAAGTTACAATCATAACACAAGAAATGCACTATAGAGAAAAAGGATTTTCCTGAGTTACGTTTTAAGGGTTTGTAACAAAATTGCTTCAGGAATATATCCTGAAAACATCAGAACTAATGTAAAAGTAATGAAATAACCGTTAGAGAAAGACATATGCTCAGGTTTCCAAACAGAAAGCTGTTAGGCTAAAAAGCAGCATGAACATAATTACAAGAGTTCACATTTAAATAAATATAATGTTAATTTCTTAATTTTTCCGACCTTTTTGCACAAAATATGAAAGTCACACTCTCATACTGAAAAAGGTTCAACTAATATGAAAATGAATGTCAATACATAAAAAATAAGTAACAACTCAAAAACAATAATTAAACATCAGATAATTATTTCAACAGAACTTACCCGAATTTTATTCTGAGTGATTGAATCTGGGTCATTTCTCTCACTTATAACAAGATCTCGAATAAGGTTCAATGCTCTTTGACGATGGGCATCAGATTTTAAAGCTTTAGCTTCTTCATAAAGTCCAATTAAGAAATCAGATTGTTGATCGCTGTTAGAGGTATTGAGGCTTTCAGAAGTAGTATGTACCAAAGTTTCAGCTGAAGTAGGACATATAGATGAAGTTCTAAAATGGTATAAAATGAATAAGCATGTATATAAATAACATATATGAGCATATACATGCTTCAGATAGACTGCAGTATCAGAAAAACCAGGATAAATGATAGCATTCAAACACATTTCAAGTGTGCTTTCTTATTCACAATAGCAGAATAAGAGAAAAAAAGATGAACCTTTCCTCATATGGGCTATTCACAGGAAAGCTGTGCCCATACTGAGAGATATCTTTAGAAACTTAAAGCGGTAACTGTTTATTGAGGATGATACTTCATTATGATTTAAGTGATTTTTAACATAGTTTAGTGCAAGATGCTCATTAGCCTTCGTGGTGTAGTGGTCAGCACACTTAGCGCTTAATTGATAGGTCTGCGGTTTGATTCCCGGTGAAGTCGTTGCTAATTTTTCATCTTGCCTTCTTCCAAAAAATACCTAATGTCTCTACAATACATTCACATTTAACTGCTTCAAGGCATTACTTTGAATACAAGAATTCTGATAGAACACTGAACTAGCAGTACTGCCATTAAAAAGCTAGATTATAATACAAGCATCATTTGTAAAAAAAAAAAAAAAAAAAAAAAATATTTCAAATAGCAAGCATGCAAGACTACCACACATAAATGTTACAATCAAATGCTGCGGCTGTCATAAATATGAAAAACATATTTAAACCCCTGCATCACTTTTAACAGTTAAAGTGCTCTTTTAATATGATTCCTTACCTTTCTAAAATGATTTTTTAGCTACGAAACAGAATTCTTTTCTTTGTCAGGATTGCCATCACTGGGCACCTGAAGAACAGAAATGAACAGTCTGAGAAATTAGATTTCTGATTGATTTGGGTAGTAGCCATATGTAGAGAAAAGTGGGATGATGCACATGAGGGTGATGTCTGCTGCGCAGTCCCATATCCATCAGCGTCTGCTTGAACATGATTATTCTAAAACACTTAGACCTAGATCTGCATCATATTAGGTTGTCAGCTGAGCCACTGTCTGGTGTCAATTCTTCTGTACCAAATAGGAGAAAACCCTTATAAACCAGTACAGTAAGTCAACAGAGTGAACAAGCTATTAGCGATTTGATGGTATAGGAAGCATTCAGCTGGCACAAATTAGGACTCTTCAGTTATCTACAGCAACTCACCATGCATGTTTACATGATAAGTTATAACAAAAGTGCCATCTATCGATGATGTAGTTTACTGTAGTTCTGTAGATGACTGATGATTTCATTGGCTGGCATCACATCACAGACTTTTTGATTCAATGTTACATCAAATACAATAGCAGCAAAATTAAAAACATATTTATAATCTGAGAATTGAACATGTCATGTATTGTGTGATAATCCATCCTTCCCTTCAATAGGCAACACAGTATTTTGATAGTGTAGCCAAGGTGAGTCCTGGCAGGGGGCAAGATGGTGCACAGCAAGTGGGCAGCCAAATTTAAGGGCGGCAAACTGATTATCAAACATATATTTCTATAAAAAAAAGGGTGGCCAAAATTAGTTTGAATGTGGGCAGCTGATGATCTACGATTAGCACTAACTGCAGCTGTAATATGAGTATGCCAAAATGAATGTTTGGGTGACTGACTTTATGAAGAGCAATTTTGCAAGTTGAACCCTGGTGGGCTTGAAGGACAAAATATACAGATGAGTCATATTGTCGTTACAAAATATATGGGTTCTGGTGAATTAAAAAGCTAATGAATAGTTCCCAAGCAAGAAGGAATGTAAAAAGGGAGTAGAACATCACAGGAAAGTTGAAGTCTGAATCATGTCTAATTCATATATTTGTAGCAGTTGCATAAACATGCACATGCTTCTCTAACTAGTGGAGCATTATCAACACCTTATCAGATGTTACACCCATCTGTATCATGCATTCACTTGGATTGGTTTGGCCTCTTCCTGCAATATAATGTGCTACCAAACATGCCCCAACCTATGAAACTATAGTTTCAAGTACACTTATTTAAGTTCAGGATCAAGAAATAGCCCCTTTGTTCACCAGATCTTAATTTTATTCAGCAAAATTAGGATCCTATACCTCATTCCATTCAAAACAGACATCCACTATGCAAGAAAATTACTGAAATGCGAATCATTTTTCATCATCTACAGATTACTTCAAAGAGTTCAAGGAGTCTGTGCCCCAATTTATTACTACAGGTTTATAATACAGAGGCAGGTCTACATGCTATTAAACATGCATGCTAATTTTATTCCATGTATAATATATATATATATATATATATATAAACACTAATGAGTTATGAAAATTTAGACAAGTCGAAACATAACTAAAAATTGCTGTTGCAAGGACTTTCGAAAACAACATCAACGATTTATAGTAAAGCAAGCTATCAACTGAATTACCTAGAGATACCTTTTTAACCTCAAGTTTAAAAGTACATTGAATTGGTCGCACTTACATCAGATATTAAAAAAATTAAAAAAACTTTTTACTATTACAAAATAGATAAAGGAAATAATAACTTCAGCATTATATGAAAACAATTCTACGCGAAGAAAATTATTCATAAGAACTTTTCAAGCAACTACTTATCAATAGCCCCCTTACAAAAACAAATATAAAAACAGAAATTAAAAATTTTCTAAAAAACTAAATATTACTTTAACTCCAACGCACAAAAGATTTACTAACCTTATGCACTTCCCAAATTCATAAAACACCATTAAAATCAGATTTATAGCAAATGGAACTAATAATTACAAAAAAAAATGTAGGACTATTTTTTAATCAACTTAAAAAAACCTGTACATTTATTTTCAACTATTGTAACACTAATCAAAACTTGTGGATCATCCATAATAACACTCCTGTCATTAATGCCATTCAAACAATTAACATACAGAACATTAACTGCTATGACTTTGAAAACTTATATACCTCACTTCTCTAGAAGAAATTATACTAGTCTACTAGATCTGCCTAAACTCTTCCTGATATGCTCACAATTTGAATCTTAACAAATGGGAAACCTACTTAAAATGCACACTTTTTCATAACTACATCAAATTTCAAAATCAACTTTAAACAAGTCAGGGTCTACCAAGGGGATCCCATTCCGGTACCTCGCTCTGTAATATCTTTTTCTTTATCAAGAATTTAAATTCAAAAAAAAAAATTTAAACCACAAGAATTAAATTCTACAGCACACTTCAGAATATTGATTGACCTTATTACATTAATAATTCATAAAATTGAATACTCCGAGTTTATCCAAATTGACTTAATAATAAACTAATAATTCACAAAATAGCATAGACTACTAGATCTTCAAATCATTAACTACAAAAAAAAATTTTACTTTTGACAACACAAGAAAACATTTCAAATTAACAAATTAATAAATTGGAATTTCCAAACATATCCAAAAAAAGTAATAACGATACAATAATAAATCAAATACAATGAATTAAAAATTCTGCACAGATACGACAGATCTACAATGCGAAGTTTTGCTCCTTATTAAAATTCTCAAACAATCTAATACCAATCAATTTATTAACCACTACTTAAAAAGACAGGCATTAAATACTCATTCTATATTTAATGATAGGGATATGATATTTGTTCCTAAACTGAGAAGGCGGTATAAGTTGGATGACTATCAGTGAAAGATTTGTACATGTAATTACTAAGCTTGTAATAATGTAAAAAGCTAATTGTCTTCAGACTTATGCTGTTACTAAAAAAATGGACCTATTTCATCTTTAGTCTGTCAATAGCTCTTGACAATGAAATCCTTTTTCCTTTTCTCAATTCTTAATCGTTACGACACGACAATTAACAGAAATTAATAATTTCATTCACTAGATTTCCAAAAAATTTTAACAGAGGTTTCATCAAATAAGAGCTCCCACAACATACGTCCCTCAGAATTCTGTGTCTCCACTGCTAATTCAAGCCCGTTGCCAAAAAGAATTCTGAAACACAACTTCTGAGTCAGATGGGAAAACACTTACCACTCCCACTAGAAAGAAACATAAGTTAATTAATGTTCTATGGGCTTTATATCTTCATGTACATTCCTTTTCTTATTATATATATATCTTTAAAATGTTTTTTTATTTTTTGAGTTTTTTTACAAAGATTGATTATTTTCTTATATTTTGTAATTTCTAATGTTATTTCAATTACTGGAATTCTATTTCATAATGACCAATTCCAATGTTTAATTTTTACAAATAGTTTTGAACTAAATGCTAAACACGAGGGAAGTCGGGGGACAGTTACTCGAGCGATATCAATTTACTGCAGAAATTGCTTTCACTCAAAATTGAATTAGCTAAAATGCTTTATTGAAGAGTTCTGGTTCTTGCATTGAGTTCCTATCCCTCTATTCAAGGAAATATTTGGCCTAGCTTGAACTGCCGTTTTGACATCGCCTTATTGCTCGAGTAAAGGTTGAAACACCTTCGTATTTATTTCTTAATTTTTGTTCATTGAACGGGAGTTGGTTTGTTCCCCTTGAAAAGTCAACTTGAAAAGTCCGATCAATGGCAATGATTACTTGCATTCAATTTAATTACTTGCTTTAGAAATCTTTAATTCAAGCAGTCATTTTTGTACTCAAGAAGTATTTATGACAACTTCAGAAAACAATTTAAGATAATTTTTCAATACTTACACATATAAAACAACTAAATTCCTACCAGTATTGCACATTTTCAGGGAAATGCTGCTGCTCTACAAGTGTTATTTAACTGCACTTAACTCAAATTTATAAATTTTACATAGATACTCTCTCCATGTTTAAATAACAAGGAGAAGAATTACAACAGAAGGAAAGAAATTTCAATTTTAAGTCATACCTATTTTCAACCACACACTTTAACCACAGCATTAATTTCAACCACATGCTTAGACCATAACATTAAGCAGGGCTAATATAAATTTGTTTTCAATAATCTGCACACATACATAAAAATGAATGACACCCAAATATGGCATCTAATGCTTTATGCCTGTCAAAGCTCAGTCCAGAATATACACTGAAGAGCCAAAACTTTATAACCACAAACTCAATAACACACTGTGTACTCTTCAGCCTAAAAAGCAGCTGCAACACACTTTGGCATGGATGCCAGACGTTCTTGGTAGACAACTGGATACAGGTTATATCAAATGTCTAAGTAGTGGTCATGTAAAGTCGATATATTCTTGCATGGTGGTGTTTGAGCTGAGCTGAAACTCCATGACATTCTAAATGTGCTGTATCGGGTTAACATCCGGCGAGTTTGGTGGTCAATCCAGATGTTCTTGGTAGACAACTGGATACAGGTTATATCAAATGTCTAATAGTGGTATGTGGTCATTAATTTTGATGGTGGTGTTTGAGCTGAGCTGAAACTCCATGACATTCTAAATGTGCTGTATCGGGTTAAGATCCGGCGAGTTTGGTGGTCATGACATTAAGTGGAATTCAACCTTATGCTCCTCGAACCACTCCAACACTATTCAAGCCTTGTGATACGGGATGTTGTCTGGCTGAAAGATTCCATTTCCAGTTGGCAAGACAAACATCACTCAAGGGTGCAAGTGATCCAGAACTATGTTCAAGTAGTCTGCAGCTTCATGGTTTGTTTTACCAAATTTAAGGGTCCTAATATGAAAATATCTTAATATTGAGACCACCAGCCTGTGTATGATTTGCTGTACAAGAGGGAATCAATTGTTTGCCTGGAAGACAGCATACCCTGACATGACCATTGATATGATGAATGAGAAATCATGATTTTTCCAACTAGGCAATTGTCTTCTGGTGAGTTAGGTATCCATGGTTCAGTCTCGATGTTCCTGGGCCATTATATGCGTAGTTGACACTGACGCTTGGTCAAGAGACACACACGAGTGGGATATCTGCTGCGCAGTCCCATATCCAACAGTGTCTCTTGAACCGTTTGCTCCAAAACACTTGCACCTGGACCTGCACTGTATTGGGTTGACGATGAGCCACTGTCTGGCACCAATTTTGCTGTACCAAGCAGGGCAGTCTCTGACGACCTTTTTCTCTGATGGTGCGTGGACGTCCAACACCTTGGCATCTACTGCTGGTTGCACCATCATTTATCTACTCCACATAAATACTAAGAACAGCACACTGTGAACAACAACCTACCAGTCATAAAATTTCAGAGATAATCATTCAGAGTCTTCAGCCATTACAAGCTGCTCTCTATCAAATTTGCTTAGATCACCAGCCTTTCCCATCACTGGTAACAGTATGTGCAAGAGTGATTCCTTACCTTCTCCAGCAGCAGTTAAATACTAGATGAGTTCATTGCAAAACGTAGGGATGGTCATAATGTTTTGGCTTGCCAGTGTAGATCTTGCATGGCCAACACTTACATTTCTATGAAAAGGATTTATGATAAAACATTACTTAGATTCAATATTCCTTAAAATTTAATTCTGAAACAACAAAGCAATAACACTGATCATTCCAGATTATCACCGTAACTTCAGACGAGCTTTTTTACAGCGTGAATATTATTAGGGAAACCAAATATTTGACTATAGGGTATTACAGTTTCCTAAGCTAAAAACTATATGGCAAAAAAATAAATTCAGTTTTTTAAATCAATACCTAACCAAGACTTATTTTTTATTTGCCTAATTTTAAATTTTTCATTGCCTTGTGTTTCCTCTTATAACAGTCTTCCATTTTTGCTTCGTGCTAAAAAACTGGAGATAACTCTTTTTTAAATTTATTGATTCAATGGTATCTATCTCAACTGTTTCAGTTACTGTCTACGTCATCAATATCAAAAAGGTAACATTTGAAATGAAAGGACAGAAAAATGCACTTCCACCTTCTTTTAGATGGCATAACAATGAGACATACGAAAGCAAGCACGTGTTCATTTCAAACTATTGTTTATTAGATTGCCTTTGTTAATTGAAAGAATTTTTCTGTTACACTTTAAGCAGTTTTTTAATAGTGGAATACTAACATTTGTAAATAGTAGTTACATTGAAAAAAGCCTCCATAGTTAATATTTCCCATGTACCAGTAAAAACAAAAGTTACTCTACTCACTTATAGTTTGTTTCCTAAACTGAAAGATTAGAAATCCAGCAGCCTTCAGAAATTCATATCCATATTTTTATGAAACTTCAGCAATTCTCTTTATATACAGGGTGTCCTGTAAATGTTGCAACAAACTTCTGAGGGAGGCAGGGCACATCATAAGGATTAGGAATTGCATAGGAACCCATGCCCAGAAAGGTGACTGTACACCGCCAGGCGGTGCTGTACAGTAGAGTGCTAGTGGAAAGTGATGATTGCCTCATTCGAGTGGTAGGCACCATATGAAAAGCATGGAATGCAATACGAACGTACAGCTTACAGACATGCACTTAGTGCATGGCATAGCTGAGGGTAATGGATAAGCCGCTTCTTGCATTTATCGAGAACGTTTCTCTGACAAACATCAACCACACCACAATTTGTTTGTGTGTCTGCATCAAAATTTGTGCCACTCAGGGTCATTAAGGAATGGCGGGAAAAGTGAAGGCAGGCCACGATCGACTCAGGAAGAAAGTGTGTTGCATACAGTGGAGAGTAACCCAAGGACCAGCATACATGCCATTGCCCCTCAATTAAGAATGTCTCGCATCAGTGTCCAGCGTGTCTTGAACACCGAGTCCTTCCACACCTTTCATCTCCAAAGGGTTCAGTTTGAACATGTGTATTTCACACGGTGGTTTCTGTAAGAAAGTGTACGTGATGTTAATTTCCCAGCTTATGTGTTGTCTATGGATGAGGTCACATTCAATAGGGATGGCATATTCAATCACCACAATCAGCATTTGTGGGCTCGAGAAAACTCCCACGGTATATGGCATCACATGGCACAACACCTCGAAATTAATGTGTGGGTGCCTGCTCATTTTGGACTGGATGTTCATAGCCATTTGAAAAGATCGTTCCTGTATTGATGGATTGGGTGTGGCGGACCGATTCTCTGGGACCCACGCTCACCGGATTTATCGAGTCTAGATTTTTTTTGTGGGGAGCCACCAAAAGTGTTGTGTATCATGATCCTGTTGTGTCTGAAATGGATTTCATGAAAAGACTCGACTACGCAGCTACTACAATCAAAGAAACTCCAGGTATGTTTGAACATGTCCGGCAATCAATGGTCCATCAGTGTCAGGCATGTTTGCCATCTTATGGTGCAGACTTCGAACATTTGTAGTAACATTCAAGCTGCCATACACCATTTGTATTCATGTCCAATAAATGTTTCAAATTAATCACTCTGTTATTTCCTTTCCCATCTTCTACTTCTGCTATCACTTAGCACTGACATTTCCGGGCATAGGTTCCAATGCAATTGTTAATCCTTATGATGTGCCCTAGGTCCCTCAGAAGTTTGTTGCAACGTTTACGAGACACCCTGTATATCTATCTACAGACACACATATATATATACTTCAGAAAAAATTAAGACACCATACACATTTAAGTCAAAATAAAAAACATAAGCCTATAATATAAAAATAGTATGGCAACCTTAAATATGAAAATTACAATAAAAACAATAAAATTTATTGTAGAATCTCAAAACTGAAGAAATGAATGCTTATATCAAAGAAATGAATGCTCACATCAAAACTGAAGAAATGAATGCTTATATCACTAAACTGGAAAAGGTCTCTATACACTACATGACTATGCATATAAAGAGAGGAAGAATATTAGATAGTTCAGGGTTCATACCCACATTTTAGTTAAAAAAACCAAGCACCTATAAGCACTTTTCAAGCACATTTTAAGGAAAAAATAAGCACCTGTCTAATTACATTATGCACAACTGCATAACCTTAAAAGAAAAATTAGACTGGTAATTTAAAAATTCAGTATTTATTAAGATTCAGTATTAATTCAGTATTTATTAAGATAGAATGAGCATTACCTCAACCATGGAAAATAATTACATTGTTTTTTTAATTTTAAATAACAGTTCAATTTACAGAACTGGTTTACAATGAGAGGGGGGAAACTATGCAGAACTA